ACCCACAACCAAAGGATACTCGTATCGGCCAATAACGCTCCTTTCCCGATCGTGAAGACACTAGAGGCCCTGTTACTCCCTTACTTCACCTTACTACCACCTGACCCCAGCGAAGCATCAGCATGGTTTCCGTATAGTGCACAGCACAACAACAGCACTTAACGTCATAAACACCCAAATAACTCGTGGCCTAAACCGCAATCGCCCCTGTGAGAGAACAGTCCTACTAGCGTTGGGCTTGTCAAAGGCGTTTGACACCGTCTGACATTCCACGCTAATGGGAAACATTGCGGCCTCCTCTCTCCCACAGGGACTTAAACGGTGGTCGGCGAATTATATGAGTGGTCGACAGTCGCCAGTAATCTTCTGAGATCAAACCTCGAAAACTAGAAGAATAAAGCAAGGGGTTCCACTAGGTGGTGTTCTGTCCTTTCCCACTTTACTGATCAACTTCTAAATCTCGAAGCTCCCTCAGCCACATGAGGAAGTTTCGCTGATCTCATACGCTCAGGATAAAGGGTGAACACACCAAAACTGCGACACTTAGAAATTACTACCAGAAACAAACTAGAAGGCTATTATTATTATTTTTTTTTGTATTATATAACTTGGAAGTTTAGATGTTATTAAAATGTTAAAATATTAGTTATTATTTGCTCCATATGCAAGTGATCGGTATTTTCATCGCACACGCGCCATCATGTTCTGCACGACTGCATCATCGACATTACGCGATGCGCACAACTACTTTGTTTTGCACTCTTCAATAATTTTCACTCTTTCACCTGTTTTCTTCAAGATTCCTTTGACAATTGACCAATATTCCCCAATAGGACGTGGCTCTGGGCTATTGGGTGGATTGCAGTCGTGAGGTACAAAATTGATGTTATTTGCATTATACCACGGCAATGTGTCCTTGGCATAGTGGCAGGTTGCCATGTCCGCCTAGAACGATGGCCTACTCCTTATCTGTTGATAAATGACAGAAGACGCCTTTTGAGGCACTCATCCCGATAAACTTGATCATTCATTATCCCGGATGGGAAAAAAGGGCTTCTCTTACGGCTGCAGCAACAAATAGCTTGCCAAACCATGTGGTTTTTGGAAATTTGGACTTCATTTTCAGCTTACAACTTTCAGGGGCATCTTGACGACTTGCAGCAGTATAAAAATCTTGACCTGCAATATATTTTGAATTATTATAAAAGTAGGTTTCGCAGTCCATAACAATGCAGTTGTATTTTTTAATTTAGAATTCATACAACTTCCGAATGCGGGATTTCGCTGTAACATTCTACTTTGCGCCTCGGTCTGGCGCTGTTTGAGCTGTCGAACATCTCAATGAAGCTTTCCGCTTTACCTTTTGTACGAAAAACTGCGATCTCCGTACGGATTTTGCAACATAACGCGACAAAATCTTCGGATCTCGCGAAAATGCACTGAGGACCTTCCGAGCACTGTTTTTATCACTTTGACCATGCTAACCCCCGCTCCCTGGTTTTCTCGTAACTGTCAGGCCTTATTTGTACCGATTAAAACCCTGCAAACTGCCGAATGTGCACTCTTTACTTTTTTAGCAATTTTACGTGTACTTAAGGCCGGATCATTTATAAACTCGTGCAAAATGGTTTGTCTCGTTTCTAGCTCGGTTGTCATTTTTAACTCAACTAGGAATCAAATTCAAATGAAATTTCTTCTACGTTCAACTAAGGTCATGGTCAACTTATGGTATTTGAATTTCAAAATATTTAATTCGTTTTGGGTAAGTTATAAGCTTCCCAAAGTGTCGCAGTTTTGGTGTGTTCACCCTTTAGAATTAGGCATTCACGTCGATGGCACACCAATACCGATAGTAAACAACCAGAAAATTTTAGTGGTTAGCTTTGATAGCCTACTCTCCTTCTCCACGCACAAAATCGCAGTTGTTAACAAAGTATAGAGCCGCAACAAGGTCCTCAAGTCGCTCGCCGGCAGCTCCTGGGGCAAAGACAAAGAAACGTTGCTGGCAACATACAAGGAAATTGGCCGGCCGATTCTAAATTATGCAGCACCAGTTTGGTCGCTACGGGCTTGTCAGAACGCCGCACTCTGGACAGCGACAGCCCACAGCACAGCGAGGCCCAAATGCGCTCCTTAAGGGTGCACAACAAAATGCTCCAAAAGACCACTGCTAGAGGAGGAGCCCCCGCCCATGCACATCAGGGGGCACCTATTCATATACAAGGATGCGGTCCATACATACATACATAGACCAACCACTGGACCGACGACGTATCGACGGATCAACGACATTCATAGGGAGTCGGTCACCATCTACCACCACTCCCGGCCTATTAATGACGTGATCGGAGCCCAATCACCACCTGTAGCAGAGACAGAGCTTCAACTGCCAAGAGAGACCCTCGTTACCCTGGCTCAGTTAAGGTCTGGATACTGTAGCCGCCTCAACAGCTACCTGCCCAGACGCGACCCCAATATCCCCAATGAGTGTGCGGCATTTGGGGACTCTCCGAACGACACCAACCATGTCTTCACATGCCAGCTCAATCCTACTCAACTAACACCACTCTCCCTTTGGTCCGACCCTATTTAAACAGCCCGTTTCCTGGGGCTACCGTTAATTGATCTTGACGACAATGCTTGAAGGACGAACCGAAATAGGCGGGGCTTAGTAGTGCCACTTCAACAACAACAACAACGCATATGGTTTATATTCTGGAGAGATACGAGTATTACGCTTGAAATAAATTCAATAATTCATGGTTTAAATACCCTAAATTAAAGACATGCCTTAAAAAAGACGAGAAGCTCGTGAGAAAGCGATGCCGGCGAAAAAAATGTATCTTCTTCTTCTTGATCGGCGCTGTAACCGCTTAAGCGATTTTTCCCAGAGCACAACAAAGCACTCCAGTCGTTTCTCTTTTGTGCTGATGCCCATTGGAAACAGGGTAGCCAACTCATTTTTGAGAATTCCCCGATTTCGAAAATGAAATTCCCCGATTTCCAGGAAATTTCGTAAAATTCCCCACATGGAGATCTCCTTATTTACAAAAAAAAAATGTTTGTTTATTTTGACATATTGTAGGTCTTTCTGTTTATTTACCTTTTAATGGAATTCAGCTATGTATGTATTCATAGACCAAACCAAATTTTATAAAGTTAGTTAACAAATAAAGAAAAAAAATTACATTTAATGTTTACAGTGGTCGAAAACATTTTAGACGCGCCAAATTTTGATAAGTTTTCACAATTATTATTATTTTTTTTTTGTTATTTGATTATTTTTTTATATAAATATAGTTAATTCTTTAACAAAAACTGTATAAATCCAAATTTCCAACTTTGTGTAATGTAAAAAAAAATCTACAAACTTTAGTACAAAACTCCACGTCACACGGAGCAGACGTGTAATCATTTGGCCCTGAAGACGGTTACCGCGGTGTAACCGAAATATATTGGAGAAAACTAAAAACCTGTGTTTTTAATTAAAATTCCATAAAAAATTTGACCTCGAGCCGGCAAAACCAACAAACTTTAGTAAACATTTCGAGCTTTTTAATTAGATTTTCTAGAAATTTTTGTTTTCAAATTTTTTTCCCGAAAGTGTTGCGGTTCTCTTCCACATAAAAAAGTGTGTTTATTCGTTATATGAACGCAAATGCGACCAATTAAACGGTAATTTGTATAATTTGCAGGATTGCATAATCAGTATTTTAGTTGCAGTTGCATTTCTTATGCGACTTTTTTACCTCATTATGAAATTAGTGCAGCAAAAAAAAAATTAATTAGTTAACACCCAATTCGTCACAAAAAGCAGTTCATCTTCCGATTCTGCACGTAAACTGAAAATTACCACAAAAAACGGTCCATTCCCCGATTCCCCAAGCAAACTCAATTTCCCCGCAAATCGGGGAATTCCCCACGAGTTGGCTTCCCTTGAAAATACCAAGTGTTTCTCCACCTGGTCTTTACATCCCAAAAGAGGCCTTCCTCTTCCTATGTTACCAGCATCGCGACCCGCGTTGAATACTTTCAGAGCTGGAGTGTTTCTGTCCATTCGTACGACATGACCAAGCCAACGTAGCCGCTGTATTTTAATTCTCCGCAATATGACAATATCCTTGTAAAGATCATACAGCTCATCATTCCATCGTTCAACATCAGATTAAATAAATCACAAGAAAGGGAGTAATCTTGTCTGAAACCTCGTTTGGTATCAAACGACTCGAGAGGTTCTTCATACCCTTCAGGCAAACGGTGACAATTTGCCACATAGTGTAAGTTGACAGGAGAAAAGAGTGCGACTACGGTTACCACTCTTGGTGATGCAGTGGGTATCAGTTCAGTTTTTGTTTACTTTCAGCATTCGTTAGCTCGTACGAAAAAAGCCGAATGGATAGGAGAATTACGGCGGCGAAATAATTAAAACGCCGACTTTATAATCACGCGGAGGGCATTAAAATACCAGAGAGGGAAAATAAACATTATTTTTTAAATTTTAACAAAAAAAATTAACAAGTTTTAATCGTCATAAAACAGTTATAACTATACTCACGTATTTGTGTTCGTAGTAATAAATTAAAAAAATAATAATAATTAATATTTGATTAAGAAGAATATTTCAGTTAAGAATAGTGATCATTCAGGAAAACTCAAAAGCTATAGCAGCGTGATTTCCGTTGTATCCTTTTCAGAGGTAGCGACACCCTAATAAGAAGAATAAGTTCCAAAATTTTCACGTCAAAATTTCAGTAAGTTGCGTCTGTATGGCCTTTTCAATTTCATAAATAATCATTGTTTTTAAGCGGAGAAATAAAACTCAATAATAATTATTATCTCTGAGCGAAAAAATAAAAATCATAAAATAATCATTATTTGTGATCGAAAAAATAAAAATCAAATAATAATCATTTCCGTTGAGCGAAAAATATAAAAATCATAAAATAATGATTAAATGCTGATTTAAATTATTTTACTCATAATAATTACCATCCCTGAATAATACACATTTTTCCGTACGTCTTTACTCTAGAAAACATGAGCCGGCGATCGAAAATTATAAGTTCGACGTAATAAAACTTCTTGCTCGGCACATAGATGTGAACCAGCTGATTTATTTACATGTGAAACGTTTATAGAAAAGAAAAATAAAAGCATTTTCGTGTGTGAAGTGATTCGCGTTTTTATTAAATTGTGGACATTAATAAATCAAATAAAATGCTGGGAAGTCGGCGAAACTTAAAAAGGTTGGTAAGCAATAAAAGAAAAGAATTTTTATCTAAACTTCAATATAAACCAACCAGCGAGGTAGTGAATGTCTCGGTGGCATCTGAACCACGCGATTATGAGTCTCATTTGCAATCAAATGCAAATATAGTTTCTGGAAATGATCCTACTAACAGTGTGCGTCCAATTTCTTTAAAAGAGCAGCTAAAAGATTGGGCTTTGAAACACAAGCCAAGTAGGGAGTGTTGCAATGATATACTTGCAATTCTTGCTAGACAAAATCTCGATGTCCCAAGAGATATTAGAAGCCTCATACCAAAAAAAAACAAGTTGGTTATTAAGAGTGTACCTCCTGGGTTTTATTCTCATTTTGGCATAGAAAAACAATTAATGTCTTTGGGTGATTATGTTTCTCAATTCGAAGAAATCGTTTTCGACATAAATGTTGACGGAATACCTTTGTTTAGAAGCTCAAGGGTTCAACTCTGGCCAAATTTGATAAGAATTTTAAACTTTCAAGTCAATAACATTTTGCCAGTAGGTATATACATTGGAAAACAAAAACCAAAAGATTTAGAAGTTTATTTGCTGGATTTTGTTCAAGAATATGATAATCTTTCGAAGACTGGTATTTGCGTTAGTAATAAAATAGTTAAGCTTAGATTGAGGGCGGTGATTTGCGATGCTCCGGCTACAGCTTTTATATGTGGCACAGTTGGACACACATCTTCCCACGGTTGTTCCAAGTGTACACAGGTAGCACGGAAAATCGATCAGGTTTTGACGTACACTACAAATTCAGACAAACTAATTACAGATGAAGATTTCACGGAGAGGCGACTGAAAAATCACTTCCAAAAAAAGTCTTAATATAAAAATGGTAAGCCAAATTGCTCTTGACACTATGCACCTTATTGATTTAGGGGTGGTAAGGAAATTTCTAATACGCTTGCTGAACAACAAAATCAGTTTGGAGTACAAAAACTCCTAAGGAAAATCTTAGTACCATTTCGACTAAATTAGTCTCCCTTATAAAGTATATTCCACTAGAATTTTCCCGTCGACCGCGAGGTTTTGAAGACATTGTTCATTGGAAAGCAACGGAATATCGCCAATTTTTGCTTTATACAGAGTTACTGGCATTAAAAGGAAGCATTCATGATGAACTCTACTATGAATTCCTCTTACTCCACTGCTCATGCAGACTTCTATCGTGTCCAAGATCCTACGAAAAAAATACATCGCTTTGTCAAAATATGCTAGACCTATTTGTGGAAAACTTTCCGATAGTTTTCAAAGAAAATAATGTGATCTATGATGTACACAGTCTTTTACATCTTACCGAGTGTGTAAAGCAATTTGGTGTTTTGCAAAATTTTTCGGCCTATGGCTTCGAAAATTATCTTCAGATTTTAAAAGGCTACGTAAAAAAACCACAATGCGTACTCAAGCAAATTTACAATAACGTTAAACACGAAAACCGTCGCATTTCATCATAACAGGAAGGATTTGTAGAAGAGAAAAATCGTGTTAAAAAGTTTGTGACCTCAAAATATATTTTTAGTACCAAATTCCCTGATAACTATTGCTTTATCTTACCGGATATTCCCCTCACAATCAAAATATTTGATAAAAAGAACAATCTTGTAACCGGAAAGCGATTTCTAAATCAAACGCATTTTTTTAGTCAGCCTATAGATTCGTTAAAGCTTTTAGGAATATGTTTAGTCGATGAAAATATTAATGACTTAGAGGAGAGTTTTCCCACATCCAAAATTAAATGCAAATGTATAGGCTTACCATACCAGAACAAAATTTTTTTAGTTCCAATCCTACATGGCTGCTTTTAAACAAACATAACTAAATTAAACAATCGAAAACCAAATTGCATGTACACATATATAAGTTATATAAAACTCTAACTTACCTTTTTTATCAACATTTTTCAAGGGAAATCCCAAAAATGCAAAATCGAGCATTAAAGCACCTTAACTCAAAGGGCGAACAGGTTCTACTCGAAGGCAAATATTTACTACATTTAAGATTTCCAGGTTTTACGTATTAACTTCATTTTATTACAGGTGAAAAACGATGTGAAAATTGTAAGAGGTTAGAGGACAAAATTGATCAAAAATTCCAAGAACTAGAAGGTAAATGCATATTCAACGCAAAATATGCTAATTGACATGTTATAGTTGTGTATTAAGCTGCCCCAAGATCGATGAATCTTCATCGATCAACATAAAATTTTTCATGCGTGCTTTTTTTATACACAACGGTCATTTACTTCAATAGTAGCTGTGTTTTATTTGTCCAGAATTTAAGCTATTAGCTTATTTTGTATGGAGGACGTACCCAACATAATTACAGCGTGGCGACGAATAACTGTTACCCAGGTTTTTTTGAGAAATAAAAGGGTCCTTCATTACTTTTGCGAAAAAAGTATTTTATTGTTAATTTTCCACAGATTTTACTTTAGTTGTTTTAATTAGTTTTTAAATTTTAACCCTTATTTACATTTGCCAGCAGTGTAAACTTTGAGAGAAAAGTTCACTTGGCACGCAAGTCTTTTTCAGGTGTATTTTTTCTTAGGCATTGTATAAAAAAAGACAAAAAAAGAGAAAAACTGTATAGGGTTGTTCGAATGAATGGCCGTCCTAGTCACCAGTTCCGAGTCTATTAGATTTTTGAGTATGAGGCCTTGTGCTAGACAGAAGGGGGAGTATAAGGGACTCAAAATGGAGAAAATTAGCCTATGGTTACAGAAGATATGGAATAAATTAATTGACGAAGGCCTGCGTGCCAAATTAACTTTTCTTTCAAAGTTTACACTGCTGCCAAATGTAAATAGGGATTAAAATTTAAAAACTAATTAATACAACTAAAGTAAAATCTGTGGAAAATTAACAATAAAATACCTTTTTCGCAAAATCTATAAAGGACCCTTTTATTTCTAAAAAAACCCTGGGTAACAGTTATTCGTCGCCACGCTGTATATTGGCTTATGAAAAGCTATCTTGGCTTGTATATTGAACAAGAGGCATTGCCATTCAGCATCAGAAATTTTCTCCTTCAGCCAATCAGAAAGAGGCGAAAGCTTACTTTGACACTATTTGCAGTCAAACAACTGTCAAAATTAGGCTAACATTGGAAATAAGCTAATTTCGTTTTATTTGACCAAGATTTAGCTATTTGCTTGTGATGGTTGAATAAAACATGCCTAGTGTTAAAATTCAGAATAATAAAATATCGAGTTAAGTAGGCAGAAACGATCGCTACCTCTTCTTCTGTGTTGTGTAAAAAATGTCATAGCTCTACCGATTACCAGTTACTCACTAGAAAAAAATATGTATTCATTTTTACTATGGAAGTATATGTAAATTGAAAGCTTTACAGCCGTTTTTCTCGAGTTTTTGGTTTTTTGAGTTATGACAGTATTGAAGTAAATGATCGATATATTTAACGAGCTTCTGACCCTATTATGATATTCCCGGTGAAATTTTTGATATTTCAAAGCAGCTTAATATTCACATTGCCCAAAGTTCAAAGAAATATTTATTGTATCTTTATTAAAACTATTTCCTATCATTTTTTCCAGATAGAACGAATCATCAAAATACAATTATAATGGAAGCTTTGGCAGAACAAAATGTCCTAATTAATAGGCTTATTTTCCAAGATGCAGAAAACTTGAAAGTGACATCCACTTTCCCAATAAAAAGCGATAATGAACTTAAAGAGCTAGACCAAAAAATTGATGATTCTAACATTAAAAACTATGTAAGTATTTGTAAAATTTTACAATAGTAATTTTTTAATTTATTTATATACTTTTGTTTTTATTTTTATTTTAATAGGTAAATATAGTTAAGAAAATTATTTGTAATAATTTGCAGGAAAACATTGACCTACTATTGGAGCCTGAATTTCTTTATGAATATAATATTGACGGCAGTCATGGAAAGAAACGATTGAAAGAGTATAAAATGTTTGAAGTTATGAAAGGTTTGCTAGAGTAAATTGTGGAAAGTAAATTTACTAATTTTTATTTTTTCTCAGATTGCGTTATTTCGATATATGGCGCAGAAGGTGCTGAAGAAAAAATACGAAAAGCGATTCATTTATCAAAGAAGCGGCAGTTAAAAAAGTTGCTTACGAATAAAAGAAATGCCACCAGCGATGTTAATAAATAATGAGTATAAACTCCTTTAAAGCCAATTGACGAAATTCGATGAATTCTTTTTTTAAAATGAAGTTTTGTATTATTTTTCACATATTTTTCTTTACATTAATGATTCAATGATTTTCTAAACAGGATACAAGAAAACTGAGTAAGTGTATGGTGTCTTTTAATATTAGCATTGTTTTTCAAACTAAATTTTATTTTTTTGTTAATTTTGCATTAAACTGGGCTAAGTTTTAACAGACACCGTATAAATCCGATTTTCGAACTTTGTACGAAATGTATGAGAATTTTGTAGTTTCACCTAAACTTCAAACTATTTAATAAGAATTTAATAAAAATCGAGTATGTAGTTTTATACCCCATTCAAATTTAGTATAATATTGTGCAAACTTTAAATGTCTTAAAGTACATACATATGTACATAAAGTATTCTGAGATTTCTCTTTATATGGAAGAAAATGCGTGACACCGACAGCATAAAAATTATCAAAAATCAACACGAACTTTAAGACATTTACAGTTTGCACAATATTATACTAAAATTGTACGGGCTATAAAAATGCACACTCGATTTTTTTTAATTCTTATTAAAAAGTTTGTGGTTTAGGTGAAACTCCAAATTTCTCATACATTTCGTATAAAGTTCAAAAATTGGATTTATAGTGTTTGTTAAACCTTAAGCCATATTTTTATACAGTATGGATTAACAAAAAAATATTTAATATGAAAAGCATTGCAAATAGTAAAACTAATCATCGTATATCAGTTTTGTGACTAAGGGTATATTAATATGTTACATTCGTTATTAAATTGATTTTTTTTGCTTAAAATATGTAACAAAATAGTAGTAGTCGACATTTGACCACTTTCGAATATTATTCTTTTGTGTGTTTAATGCTCGTTAAATTTTTATAAGTGAATAGCACATTAAATAACAGGACCCATATACATATGTACATAAATCGAAACGTAAAAAATGCATGTATATTTCGAAAATAAGCTGAATTTCTTTTTTCTATGAATAAATAACGTAAAAAAAAATTTTAAGAAATCATCAGTTCTAAGAAGGGCAGGGAGGTATTCGTGATAGGTTCTTTTAAACAAGTCACGAAACGGGTAAAGTGGGTTTGCCAGGGTACAGGTTTTCTCAGGTCGTCACAGTTCTGCCACCGGAGTCTCTATGCGGTGGCAATCGGTCACTGCCAATGACAACTCCGTGTTAAAGTTGCCGGTCGTTTTCATATAATTGAACCGGAATTGTGATCGGTATCTTCTCTTTCAGACAGGTATGTGATATATCCAGTGCCGGTGCTTTTGCCTGCAGGGTAATTCTAGCGTACAGACATCGCAGCATAAAGTGGACAAATAGATATGTGTCGATCCTATCCTCGCGAGTCTTTTCCATTGTGAGACGTATTTTGAATCCTGGTCTATGGTGGATTTGCCAGGTCTAAAGCCACACTCATAAAGCGCAATCTTGTAACTTATGCTTAGAAGGCTTATCCCGCGGAGATTTGCGCGTATGGCGGGGTCGCCTTTCTTGCTGATTGGGAAGCCCGCACTTAAATTCCAGTCGCGGGGCATGCGTTTATCTGACCATATTCTGCATAAGAGTTAATGCATGCACCTTATCAACTCCTCGGAGTCGTACTTGAATAGTTCCCTTGGCAGGCTGTTGTTTTTCAGCAGCGTAATTGCTATTCATATCTCGCCATAGTCCATCATCATCGACACTGGGGTATCGGGTTCGTCTTCTCCACAACTTTCAGTGCTGCTGCCATTCAGTAGGAAGGGGAAGTGTTGCCTCTATAACACTGTAGTGAAAACTCAAGTTTTGACATGACACAAAAAACGCCGAGACACGTAAATTTAATTTTTGGTCGAAGATTATGGATCTGTACACCATTTTTCCAGATGAGGCCATTTTTCCAAGATATTTTAATTTTTTAACAAAAAAATTAAAATAAAATTGTAAGGAAAAAATAAGAATTAATATTATTAATATTTTTATTGAGCTTTGTACCACGATTGTTTATTAGGAAAAATTGAAAAAGCAACAACGTCTAAGCGGTAGAAGTTATAGCAGCTATTTCGGATATCACCACATCTCCTCATCAGACTTCTTTTTTTTCTAGACTTCAGCAGGGATCGAACCTGCGTAATCGATGTGCAAAGTCAGAAGCGTTAACCACTGAGCTATGTACATCCCGTAAACTCTTGTTGCTAATTCATTTTCCTTACTGAACCCACTACTATCAAGTGCAGCTGATTTGCCGCTATTTAAACTTGACAGCGTGGTTGTTGTTGTCAATTCTATACATCCATTTGCTTATTTGCTTTATTGTATAGTTTCAGGCAGTCACTTCCTAAACTATGTATTTGTCAATGTTATTGTGGCTTTTTAACATTTTATTTTTAATATTTTTATTGAGCTTTGTACCACGATTGTTTATTAGGAAAAATTGAAAAAGCAACAAAGTCTAAGCGGTAGAAGTTGTAGCAGCTATTTCGTCTAGAAAGTCTAGAAAAAAAAAGAAGTCTGCTGAGGAGATGCGGTGATCTCCGAAATAGCTGCTATAACTTTTACCGCTTAGACTTTATTGCTTTTTAAATTTTTCCTGATAAACAATCGTGATACAAAGCTCAATAAAAATATTAAAAACTAGCAGACCCGGCAAACTTCGTCCCGCCTAAAATTAGATTTTTAATTTAAACATTTTGGTCCAACAGTTTCTCCAACAATCCACATTTACGATTTGTACTGGCACATTCGTCGGCTAAGACTATCGTTTGGTGGTCGTTTGCCGCCCTAAATAACCGAACGAACGTGTTATGTCCATGAGAAGTTCCCTGGTGGCAACAATGATCCGGGTCTATAGTGAATGTGCCCTAGAAACTTTATCTTGTTCAACAGAAATACAATATACATACATAAACTGATATGAAATACCTTAAAAGCCAGTTTCGCGAAAGCAATTTAAGTGAAAAATGATTTTTTTCTGTTAGGTTAAATTGCTTTCATGAAACTGGCTTTTAAAGTATTTCGACAGGTGGTGATTTGAGATTTACCACTGCACAACTCAACCCTGGTTTCTTCGAATAAAGCTTTAACGCATAATAATATTGGCAAATCACATCCATTGGGCCAATCGTAACACACGAGAGTTCGATATACTCAATGGTGCAAACAGGTCGAATTAGTCTGACATTTACGGCACCTTTTCTCACTTGTCAATTTTTAGTAATAACTCGACCTCAGTACAACCGGGCAGCTCTTTTTTGCAATTGGACTTCCATTACCGATTCCAATACATTTTTTGAATATTCGCCAAATCGGATCATAAAAAAGATTTTTAGTAATAACTCAACTCCAGCGCCAACTGGCGGATTAAGTTGTGAAACTAAACTATCCAGAGACCCACTCAAACACACACACAAAACTTTGTTAAAATCGCTGCAGCCATTTAGGATTTCACTCACATTATACCTACAGAAGAATTATATACACATTCAAAGATAAGTAAAAGTCAGTACGTTTGTACTTTACCACGCCCCCTTTTTAAAGAGCCCATTTTCCTCAATGAATATGGGATTAATTTCATATATCTCCATACGAAGTGTTACAGTACTGTACCATGAACTCTTCCAGAGATATGCAGTATGAAATTCGACTTGTATGGTAGGTGCCACGTCCCTTTTCCAATAACTCCAATTTTTCTCCATGAGTATGTGATTTATTTCATATACTTCCGTACTAAGTTCAAAACTTTGACCATGAACGCTTCCAGAAATATGCAGTATGAAATAATCGGGTTGTATGGGAGGTACAACGCCCTCTTTTCCAATAGCTCCAATTGTTGTGAAAGAATATGCGATTGATTTTATATATCTCCACACCAAGTTCCAGTACTCTACCATGAACATTCCCAGAAATATGCAATATGAAAAATTCGGTTTGTTTTGGAAGTGCCACGCGCCCTTTTCAAATACCTCCAATTTGTATCCAAGAGTATGATATTTATTTCATATATCTCTATCTACGCTACCATAAATACTGCCAGAGATATGCAATATGAAAAATTCGGCTTGAAAGGGAGGTGCCACACACCCTTTTCCAAAAGTCCAATTTTTCTCCAAGATTATGCGATCGATTTCATATGCGCCAATACCAAGTTCCATTACTCTACCATGAACACTTCCAGAGATATGCAGTATGAATATTCGGTTTGTATGGGGAGTGCCACGCCCCCTTTTCCGATAGCTCCAATTTTTTTCCAAGAGTATGCGATGGATTTCGTATATCTCTATACCAAGTTCCAGAACTCAACATCGAACATTTCCAGAGATATGGAGTATGAAAAATTCAGTTCGCATGGGAGGTTCCACGCCCCTTTTATATATCGAAATTGTTTTTAGCCGATAACCATCCTTTGAACGTCTACAGCAGGTGTCCGAAATTTCAAAAGAATCGGTTCAGCCGTTCTCGAGCTTTGCGATATACATAGATGGATAAGAGTTGCTGCTTTTAATATTGCGCTCACTTACGTACAAAAAAACATAGCAGCATGGTTTTTATGCGTAATTATATACATACATATGTATGTACATAAATATGCTATATATATAAATGTAAGTGCTAACAGACTCTACATACATAATTGCCTACATTATTAGTATGTTCCAATAGCAGTCCGGTTTACAGGATTTAGTCAGAACTTACAGGAAGTCGTTCCTATTGACATAAAACCTGTAAGTGGGAACACTTTTGAGAGAGTAACTGAGCAACTGTTTTTAGTCAGAAGTTAGGGGATTTAGTCCGCAGTTTTTTTCCTGTAAGTTCATGAAAAGTGTCAAACGATCAGCTGATTTGCATGTGCAAACAAAAATAGAAAGCGGTGTAAGCAAAGAACCTTATATTTGTAAAAATATGGAAGTAAACAACGAAATGTTTGAATATATATAGAATATAATAATTAGTTAGTGATATTTCAGCCAAATCAGTGTTGTACAAATAACATGTAACAAACCGACTGACGATTTTACAGGAAATAGTGCTTTTTGCGTTCCCGTGCACTTCTGCATCTGTTCTCCTTTTACTCTCACTTGAGAGAGTAAAATTGTAGTTTGACAGTTCCAAAGGTTTTAGTCCGAAGTTCAAAGGAACAGACTATATTTCTCCATAAACTGTACATATTCGTTTTTTGAGCATAAGAATCAACATTAACGTTAACATGTATATGTATACATAACCCTTGCTTTGCGCTGTATTCCGTACGAATTAACAGCAGATGGCGCTCTCAGCGCTGTTATGTGGGCATGTATGTTAGACTCATAGGATTTTTAAAGTCCTGCAGTTCCATTTTTATGGAAGTATTTAAACTTTTTTTCTGCCTAAGACAATGAGAAGCCCATCCAAAACCTATAACCGAAATTTCAAAAAAATCGGTACAGCCGATCTCGAGCTTTGCGAACAGAAAAAAAACGGCTTTCAAAATATATATTAGTATAGATAAAATGTTAATAAGCCACAATAACATTGGCAAATACATAGTTTAGGAAGAGCCTGCCTGAAACTATACAATAAAGCAAATAAGACAAGTAAGAAAGGCTAAACTCGGGCGAAACCGAATTTTACATACCCTCGCGTTATGTTCATTGTATGCATGTAATGTATTGATGCTTGCTAGTGCTTGACCATCTCCTCTGATTTGTGGCGTTCGCCTTGATGTTGTTACACATAGGGGAGGGACCTACACTTTTACGCCGACTCCGAACGGCGATTGTATGTTTATGGGAAGCTGTTTTTTCATGGCAGTAATACACTCAGATGTTTGCAATTACCTGCCGAGGGGCGATCGCTTTTAGAAAAAACGTTTGTTTTTAATGTTAGTCGAAACCTAGGCTCGATCCCCGGCTTTTGCTCGAAATCAGAGGTTTCATCTTAGGCGATTATGAATTTTAACGACAGAGTTAGCTGGGGCATGCCCACTTTTCAAAAATTTATAATGATCTTATTTTGTACTCCAGTAGTTACGAAAATACCGTAGATTTAAATTTTTGAAAATGCTGTTATTTGGGAGGGAGGCGCGGTTATTGTCCATTTCAATACCAAGCTGTCTATCTCGTTGAGATATCTCAAGTTTTGCTCGAATTATCTTGTAAACGGGCGGACGGACGGACGTTAAATCTGGCATAGCTTTATCGGGTTTTATATGCCTTTTAAGAATTTTGACATATAAGTACGTTCAATCATAAAAATACTAAGTTCGATTAAAAACGAGATTGATTGACTAGGCGTACATGCTAATTTGAAATAAATAAAGTTTGGAATAATTTTTACAAGATTTAATTAAAAATATATTACAATATTTTTAAATATAGTCATAAGCATTAGTTATGTGATAAATAGATAGAATTGCAAAGCAGAAGTTCTTAACAATAAAGATCTTAAAATGGTTTTGAAATAAATTTCGTATATTTTTACAAACCTAAAAAGATTTTATAGTTTACAGACTTATAACAATATAACTATACAAACTACATGATTTGCTTTGCTTAATATTCAAGGTTTACTTATGAGCATGTAATAATAAAATAATTAATTAATTTATTTTTTTTACTAAAAGTACTTATGTTTTAAAAATTACTTAATTTTAGCAGAACAGTCAGAAAAACTAGGATCAAACATTTGAATAACCTACAGAAATGCAAATGCCTATATGGTAACTGTGAATCGTTTCATAAGTTATTGCGCTAATCAAGTCTCTATCCATGTTCGAGAACGCCCAATCAATTTGAGACCCTATAGCTGTAGTCGAATATTGTAGATCTAATAACGAACTAAAATTGTTTTCTCTTAAAAGATGTGCAATTCTATTCGTAGTAGTCTTAAGGCATAGATTGAAATCCCCCACAATAATAATTTCCCTATTCTCAAAGTCATTGCAGATAATGTCACGTAATTCTGTTTCCAAGTCTCCAATAGGAAATTTGAATTTCTGTAAAGCACCAGCACATATATATTATATATGGCTTCTAAAGTCTTGCGAAGAGAATACTTTTGAATGGTTCTACAAAGTTGAATGGATGAAGCCATTTCAGACTTTGCATACACTAAAATGCCCCGTTTGTTTCTATTCCGCGTTGTAGTGCTATCTATCCTTAGATCATTTAATTGACTAAAGCCGGGAATTTCAAAATTTTCGAAGGGATTGCTCCATGTCTCGACGAAACATAATATATCCGAAGTCATCATCAAATAATCGCTTCTAACATCATCAATATGAGCATGAAGGCTCTGGGCATTATGATAAATTATTTGAAGTTTTGATGTTCGAGAGAGCATGAAACTAAAAGTGGATGTTAAGGATTTTGACGTTTTCAAGTCAACCAGTTCCTTGAATACAGGATCTGATTCTGTAAATGGACATGGGGGCACAAAATTTCCTAATATAAATAGACCATCAGCACTAGTGGCTCTACTGCAAGCTACATACAATGCTGCTCTGGGCATTCTAGCTCGTGTATGTACAACCACTTTGCTATACGACGCAACCTGGCTTTTATGAATCGTTATTCCCTCCGCTGGAACAACAGGAAATTGGTTTCTTTCAACAGTTATTTGCTCATTCCTTTTATATTGAAAAGTCCTTGTAGTGATACACATTACTTGTTAAACACTTGTTCTTAAAATACTTTGAATTATGAAAATATCTTGTTACATTTATTTATGTACGATCAATTTTGAGTTGAAAATTTTTATATTCATTCATTCAGTTTTCAATATTCAATAAAATAAAACCTGGAAAATTTGTTAAACTTAAAAAAACGAAAATTAAATATTTTTTAATATACCTAAAATTATATACCTAAAATTGGCGATCCTGCCAGGAGCAATTTTTAACAAAGATAAAATTTAGAAACGTGAAAATCGCTTTCGAGGACATTTGTCGAAATTGAATTCGACAACGGCTACAATAACAAAAGCAACCACAAATTATTACAACTCTTACGAACGCGATACGGCGCGTACAACAACATTTTTGAAAACAATAACGACGACGAATAGACGCGGCGATTTTATTGTATTGCATTAAGATTGCAAAGAATTTTTGCATTGCATCTAGTTAGCGAATACAAATGAAAACGTCGCTTGTGAACGCGTCCGATTTCGACTACTCGTCACCCCGTGTACGAGGGCGAATAACGGCGCACACTTCAGCAATACGAGCAGTCTCAGCTGCAACAGCAGCATCAGGAGCGATTGCAAGCAGAGCAAAACGACGGGCAACAGCTCCATCAGCAGCAACAGCAACAGCAAGAAGAACAGGAACGAGAACGAGAGCAGCAACAACGCAAACATCAATCGCCATTTGTGCAGCAACATTATTATCAACAACAATATTTGCGTCAGCATCGTTACCACGACGACAATCAGTCACAACAGAGGCAACAAAAGCAATATAAGCAGACATCACGACAACAACGCCAACAGGAAAGTTCTGCCGTTGCCACATCGACAATTGTCTATTATCATCCATCCTCATCGCGTTTAAAGCACTCGCCAAGTAGTTTTGCTGACGCTGAACAACAACAACAAGTACAAAATATCAACAAATGTCACAGAAACAGCAGTCGCAATTATAGTCGGCCGTATAGAAGCAGCAACAGTCACCAACATCTGTAACCTTAACAACAACCACAAAACATCCAGTCTTTAAACCGTCACCAATCAAAACATCTAAATAGATAAGTTTATGTTAGCGTAGTTTAGTTGTGTTAAATTTTACACTTAGACAATTTTATTTTATTTTTTTTTTAAATACAAAGAACAGTATTTTTTTTTGTAAACCTTCTTCCAATATGTTGCGTTCTCCTCAAGAAAAAGGTGCTGGGGATAGACTTGGTAGGTCTCTGATTGATATTGAAGATCCCTGTGAGGTGTCACAAGATAATATACGTAATCCGTATGACAGGTCTGAAATTTGTGCTACTTCGGTAAAATTACCACAATTTTGGTCTAACTGTCCTGAAGCACGCTTCGTGCATGCCGAGATGCAATTTGCTACAAAGGGAATTAGTAGGGATTCGACCAAGTACGAGTTCGTTATAACTGCCTTGCCTCAAGAAGTTATTGCGAATGTACTTGATGTTATACAAAATCCACCTCAGACTGAGACTTATGCAAATTTAAAAAAAGTTCTCATTGACCGACATTCTTTAAGCGAGCAGAGAAGACTTGATAAAATTTTGTCAGATACTGAGATAGGGGATCGCAGACCTTCCGAGTATTATAGGACCCTTGGTCAGTTAGCGGGTAGCACTATAGACCCGATTTTCTTAAAAAATATTTGGTTGCGGAAACTACCTAAAAGTTTGTATGTTGCATTAACCAGCGCTAATTTAAATAATATTAATGATCTCTTGCAACTCGCAGATAAAATTTGGGAAATTACCAGTGGTAGTGAAATTTGTGCTGTTAAAAGTAAAGTACTTACTTCTTCAAATAATTTTGATGACTTAGGGAAAATTGTGGAAGATTTAGCGAAGGTTACGACGAAAATGTGTGAAAGTTTTAATCGTTTGCAGTTGGACATTAATGAGATTAAAACGCAAATATATGATAGACCATCACGATCAAGAAGGAGGTATTTTAGTAATAATAAAAATTCCCAGTCACGTAGTAAGTCTCAATCTAAAAATTGGGTCTGTCGGTACCATTTCCGTTTTGGTAGTAAAGCACGTAAGTGTGAAGAACCGTGTGCCTTTAAAAGAAATAATTCTGACTCGACAAACTAGGACATGCTGTTGTTGCAGCGACTAACAATGGCAATTTGAAATTTTCAACACGTCGCTTATTTGTATTAGACAAAGAAAGTAAGCTTAAATTTTTAATAGACAGTGGTGCCGAAATTTCAGTTCTTCCTTCCTCCAAATTCAAAATTCACAAACGATCTTCCGACATTATTTTAACTGCTGCAAATGGCAGTATGATTTCGACCTATGGAAAGAAATTATTAAATGTTAATTTGGGACTTCGTCGGGAATTTCCGTTTGTATTTCTTATTGCTGACATTTCTAAACCCATCATTGGGGCAGATTTTTTAGGGAAGTATGGACTCTTAATAGATATTAAAAATAAGAGGTTAATAGATCCCTTAACTAACTTGTCTGTCGACGCAATATCTGCGTTTTGTAATATCTCTTTGCCAAAAATATTTTCGGTTGAAAACCAATATACAAAGCTTATAAAGAATTTTCCTTCATTAATTTCTGAACCAGATTATAACAAAAAAGTTGAGCATTCGACAGTTCATCATATCATAACAAATGGAGTATTACCATTCTGTAGCCCGAGACGCTTAGATCCAATCAAATACAAAATAGCAAAGGCTGAATTCGATTTTTTACTGAAATCCGGGATATGTCGTCCATCTAAATCCCACGGAGCATCGCCACTGCACCTGGTACCTAAAAAAGACGCAACTGACTGGCGGCCTTGTGGCGACTACCGAAGAGTTAACTTGATCACGATACCCGACCGATATCCGTTACCACACATTCACGATTTACATATTGAATTTCAAAATAAGAAAATATTTTCAAAAATAGATTTAGTTAGGGCGTACCACCAGATACCAGTTGCAGAGGAAGATATCCATAAGACAGCTATAACCACACCATTTGGAATGTTCGAATTCGTCAGGATGCCTTTTGGCTTACGAAATTCAGCACAAACATTTCAAAGATTCATAAATGAGGTGTTACACGATTTAGATTTTACTTTTGTTTATCTGGACGATATATTGATAGCTAGCAAAGACGAAGCAGAACATTTAAAGCATTTAAATATGCTATTCCAGCGTTTAGATAAGTACGGTTTGAATATTAAGCCATCTAAATGCATTTTCGGAGCAGAAAAGATCAGTTTCCTAGGGTATAACATATCATCCGAGGGTATACAACCATCAGAGGAAAAAGTCCGATCTATTCTTGATTTCGGTCAACCAATAACTATCAAACAAATGCAGAAGTTTGTAGGAATGGTGAACTTCTATCATAGGTATATACCAAAACTTGCCGCAATGCTTGACCCAATATATAGCATGATAACAAAAGCATCGAAGAGCAAAGATAAAGTGCTCCAATGGACTGATGAATCAGTATATGCATTTAAGCAAGTTAAAGAGAGTTTTGCTAGGAAAACACTGTTAACGCATTTCAACAGTAATGCAATTCTGTCTATTGCTGTACATGCATCGAGTAGAGCTATTGGGGGTGTTCTACAACAGGAAGTTAAACATTCTAACCGCTTGCATTCTTTTCAAAGAAACTAAACCCGTCTGAATGTAAATATAGTACTTTTGATAGAGAATTACTTGCTGTTTATTTAACTATTAAGCATTTCAGACATTGGTTAGAAGGTAGATCTTTTGCAGTATATACAGATCACAAGCCGCTTACATTTGCTATGAACTCAAAAGCTGAGAGAAGCCCAAGGCAAACCAGACAGTTAGAATTCATATCTCAATTTACTAGTGATATTAAATACATAAAAGGAGATTTAAATTGTGTTGCAGACGCATTATCGAGGATTCCTGAAGTTACAGCATTAGAAGCTACTGACCTGAACTTAAGAAGATTATTTGATGAACAAAACAAAGATGAAGAAATTAAATTATTAGTATATGATCAAAATTGTAGACATAGACTAGAGTTAATAGCAATACCCTCTTTAAATATTCAAATTTGGTGTGAAACGTCACTTAGTTCAACAAGGCCATATGTCCCGCAAATGTTACGAAAATTAGTTTTTGAGAAATTACATAATATAGCTCATGTAGGTGTTAAAGCAACACGTCGGTTGATCACAAGTAGATATTTTTGGCCAGGGATGAACAAAACTATAAATCAGTGGACAAAAGAATGTGTTAACTGTCAAAAATGTAAAACTTATAGACATACAAAATCTCAAGTTTCGAAAATACCAATTCCAAAAGGACGTTTTGAGCACATACATTTGGATATCGTTGGACCTCTTCCTTTATCACACGATTTTAAATTTATTTTAACTATTATCGATAGAAATTCCCGTTGGCCAGAAGCATATCCACTTCGAAATATTTCGGCGGAAAATGTTACAGAAACTTTCTTCCGCGAATTTGTTTCACGTTTTGGAGTTCCACTGACAATTACAACAGATCAGGGCACACAGTTTACTTCTCAGATTTTTACTGAACTAACAAAGCTTTTAGGAAGTCATAAGATTACAACCACTGCCTACCATCCGCAAGCTAACGGAATGGTCGAACGGGTTTGCGATCATCCTACAAAGAAGACATTCACGCTACAGCAGCGGAGATGTTATACGGCGAAAATTTAAGGCTTCCTTCGCAAATGGTAGTTCGGTCTGAAACAAAATTTGATTCATCTGATGTACTGAATAAATTAAAGCAAAATCTCAAAAATTATGAATCGAAAGTATGTCATCATAAAGATTCACTTGTTTATATTCCAAAAGATTTATATAATTGCAAATTTGTTTTAGTAAGAATTGATAGGAAAAGAACTGGTTTACAGGAACCATATGAAGGACCGTTCGAGGTTATAGAAAAGACACCGAAGTGGTTCAAAATTAATTATCACAACAAATTAGTAAATATTTCTATAGACAGAGTTAAGCCTGCATTTCTATATGGAAGTAAACTTAGTTCATCCAGCAAGACGAAGCGAGTTACTTTTAATTTGTTAGATATGAAAGTTTTTGGAAGAGGGGAGTAGTGTAGTGATACACATTACTTGTTAAACACTTGTTCTTAAAATACTTTGAGTTATGAAAATATCTTGTTACATTTATTTATGTACGATCAATTTTGAGTTGAAAATTTTTATATTCATTCATTCAGTTTTCAATATTCAATAAAATAAAACCTGGAAAATTTGTTAAACTTAAAAAAACGAAAATTAAATATTTTTTAATATACCTAAAATTATATACCTAAATCCTCACTGTTTTTTCAATTGGCGTCCAAGAAGCATCACTAGGATGAGACTATCTAGATCTAGCCAACAAACCCACTGATGGTTCCAAAAACTTTAGCCAAAGAGTTGATGGCATCGATGATTCGAAATCAATATGCATCAGTTGGCCAGTTGCACCATTTACTAACCCATCACCTGTATTGATATTAACAGTTATCATATATTTGGCAGTAGTCTTCAATGTCAAGTTATACGACAGGCCCTGAGTTTCAGAATTTTTAAAAAGCTTGACCCTATCTAAAATATTGGAAGTTTGTCCTCCGATAGCAATACCTTTAACAACATCTTTGGCAGTAGATAAAATGGCTGAAGTTGAGATCTGACTAAGTTTAAGGGCATTAAAATTATTGGATTCTTCATTAGACCAAAATAAATGAATGGCTTCATTGGGAACTTAGTTTAAGCTAACTATTCGGCTATTGATTAAAGATATGTCCGCACTTGTCATAATGCCGGAAGCCATATTATTTAATGCGATAGCAAAAGGTTGATCCCCACGTTGCCTCATCACCTCAGTTAACTCAAAATATTTAAACAACTCCCATAGAAGGGAACCCACTAAAACGCTATAATTGTCGCTTGGGTTGGGAGAGAAAATCCATTTGTCTCCGACAGGAGAAAGTTGCCTCAAATCCCCGAAAAGAATGACTGAAATACCTCCAAAAGGACTGTTGGTTTTGAAAATTTGCTTAAGTCTAGCGTCAATTGAACTAAACATTCTAGCTCCTACCATTGATATTTCATCAATGATTATTTACTTCAAATCAATCAGCTTGGAGTAAATTGAGTTAACTAAATCGTTACTGAGTGGTCGCAAGTCTCGATTTGACTGATTCACAGGTAGTGATAATATAGAATGTAGTGTTAATCCACCAATTCCAAACGCTGCTTTTCCTGTAGGGGCACTAAGCAAAACTTTCAAGGAACTCGGGTTGGATCCAGGCACGGAGTTCAAACGATGGTTAAGAGTCTGATACATAGCTGATATCAAACGACTCTTACCAACTCCTGCTCCACCTCCCACAAACTCATAAAATGGCTGATTTGTTTTGATTTTGTGTAGCATATGTGTCATATACGTTCTCTGCTTAACGTTTAGACTTCGAACTAATGAAAAAAGTTCTTCTGCGGGAATTAAGGGCGGAAGTTTTATTAGCCTAATATTACCATCAGAGTCACTTTCATTCGTTGACGGGTCTTCTCCATGCAGGTCTAGCAAATTCAAGCCAGAGTTTACTTCCGGGAGCCCTAAGATCCTAAACTCGATATCTACTACAGGTTGGACATTTGGCTCATTTACTTCAAAATCTACTTCTTCTCGAAGTCGATCTAAAACATTCTCAAGCTCGCGCTGCTCAAATACATCATATTTCCTTCGATTTTCCTCTATTGAAATATGATGTGCTACACAAGTTTCCTCGTTATCGTTAAGAATAATTTCTCGCTCTTCATCTCGCCATGGACGGTAAAGCATGACTATTTCCCTGAAGTAATCACTTCTAGCAGTATCAGGACTAAATCTCCTGGACCTAATGACACATGGTTTGGTACGTTTCTTAACGAAACCAGTACCGTCTCTCAGGGGAAGCGCATTCCCACGTCCAATGAAATTATCTTCCTCTCTCTCGTCTTCACTACCATCACTTTCTTCCGCCCTTCTGTTTGTTTTTTTATATGTGTATAAGGATGCAAAATCAGCTAAGCAAAGATTTTCTAGTTCATTCGGTCGGTGAACATAATGCTCTAAAATTCCTGAAACAAATATGTCGGTCGAGTCCGAAGGAAGATTCTGAAGTTGTGCTCTTGGTTTTACCATCCGCACTCGATCTTCAGGACGAGAGGTATTTATAAATATCTCCGCGTTACTTGCTTCTGAAAGATGAAGCCCAATACTGCAATATACTGCTTCTTGGGCGGATATTTTTGTACCAGAAATAAATTTATGACCTATATGCTGAAGTTTCTGCTTAATAGTATAGTTACCAGCATTTACTTCTGATATGGCTTCATTTAAGAGCCTAGAAATTCCTCTATTCGATTTATTTATGTAATTTATTATATAAGAGCAGCAAGCATAAGCATCTAATATGAACTGAATATCCATATTGGCTTTATGGAGCTCTAAAATGGTAGGATTGTAAGCATTAATTGATCGATCCACCAACTTCCTTTTCAAGAAGATTTTAGGTTTTGATAAAATCGATCTTAGCGCAAGTATATAATGATCAAATGAAATGTTTAATCTAGGATATGCCAGGAAACTATCGAAATTATTTAAATTTAATATTTCAGATGATGGTAGATTCGAATTCAAAAAGTTTTGAATTTTCGAATAGTTTTCCCTATGAAGTTCTAAGTTTTCTTCATTTTCCGGAAGGGGCAACCAAATTTGGGTAGAAGGCATGGGTGGGTATGGAATACCAA